CTAAAATCTATACCGATTTCAAAATTAACATTTCATTTGAAACAAAGTTATTAAGCTGTTTGTATTTAACTGAAAGTCGAAAAGAATGTCTTTTCGAGCCGATCCTGTAGGATTCACGTAGCTTTTCTCTAGAATACATCAAGCATAAAATCTTTGGACCGAAATATTTTCGAGTGACATTATAATATCTTGTCATCTATCCTAAAAGAATCCGAAAATATCCCGTCATCTACCCTAAAAGAATCTTTGCCTTTTACTATTTTCATTACAATTGAAGAACTGTCTCGACTTCCGGCGGAAGATGACTCAAAAAGCAAAAACAAAAAAACAAAAAACTCACTGAGATATGTCGTCAACAACCTTCAACTGATTAAAATAAATATGACAAAAGATCAAATGGCATTATTAACAGAGAAACATTCCATATCCAAGAATTTCAATCTTCTCTTCCAAATTTTTCTAACCGAAAGTTTCCTTGTAATATTGTAGGTTCTATGTAGAAAGCTCTGCCTTTCAAGAGTTTGAATTTGCTAATTCATAATCCCAGATCTGTCTTTCAAGAGTTTGAATCTGTTAATCTATAGTCGCAGTTTCCCCTTGAAATCCTACCTTATTCGCAGTTGTTGGTGAAATTACTTCCTGTTGAGATCCAATGCTTTAAGTAAATTTTCCATATTTAGTTGTTATAATTTCCCTTTGAACACCGCCTTTGATGATGTGTCTGTTAATAAAGTGACTGAGTTTCTATGCAATAATTGATTTGAGAATAATACAAATCAGTATGTGAGATGCTGTTGCTATTATTATTATTATTATTATTATTATTATTATTATTAGTCTTGTTTATTGTTCTCTTTTCTTTACCTGTGGACAAGTGATTACCTATCCAATTAGTCTCTCTCAGTCGCCGTTCAACTCGCCCCGCACCAACACAGGTATACACACGCGCGTCACCAATTACACAGTTCATCTCTACCCGAGGAGACAAGGGCCTGGGCGAACGACCCCTACCACAACCCCAGTTCGATTGGAGCCGCTTGTGTCATCTGTCAGCTGGTACCCGCCCACCAAACAGACGGACGCTCAGAACTAAATATATGATACACTGCTACTGAGTCATACGGTTAGACACTATTGAAGTTTTTTTTTTTTTTTTTTCTGGAGGCAAAGACTAAGAATTTATCTTCTAAAACCAACTGTGAACTCGTATATCTTTTTTAAAAATAAAACATAAGTAAAAAAGTAAATAAATAGAAGACTGACATCAGATTATCTTATATATTTCTTCTTTTTTTTTCCGGAGGTATATTTGCGAGTTTTTGATGTAATCCTGACATGTGTCAAATGCTGAATAACATAGCCAAAGGCGTGATACGATGTTAATTTCTTGCTCATTTAATGCAGTCACTTTCTCTCCGCTCCCACTTCTCCCTGTGTCTTACTTAGTGCACATTTCAATTTGGTCTTTACGAAAAAAAAAAAAAAAAAAAAAAAAAACTATAAATAAAGGAAGAAAAAAAAACGAATATTTTAAAATTATTTGTTCCTGTTTTGGGAGATAAAATGTTTTAAATGAAAGGTGTGCAAAGCCTTAGGTCTAAATAGTATTCGAATTCCTTTGGTGAAATTATTGTCAATCATTATTCATTTTTACTAGTATTTCTTTCATCTTAATTTCAGTTGTGTATCGCAACTATTTGAGCATATGTCTTCAAGGGAGATAACTGCTATTTGGACCGGCATTATTTTTATTTCAATTTCAGTTGTTTTTTTTTATCACAACTTCGAGATCATTTGCTTAAAGTTGTTCGATTCTAAATCCTGAGAAGGTTGTCAAATGTAACAACTCCCCGCAGAAAACCAGAGAGTACAGCAACTGAAACATTGTGATCAACACATTGAAAGATAGAGATATAATCCAAAGAGATTAATGTATAATCCTATATTGTTGTAGATCATCGGTGATACTCTGCTGGATCCTTCATGACATTTTTCTCGTGGTAACGACCTTCCCTTATTATTATTATTATTATTATTATTATCTTTGATTTCTGGTGTATACTCATTTCTTTTTGGGTCCTAACCAGAAACTTAATGTCAGAAATGTCATCATGATATTTTCTACTAAGTTTTTTTTTTTTTTTTTTAAATAAAACACCTAAGATCACACATATTTTACGTAGATAAAGCCCTTCGTAAAGAGTGAGCTGTATTTGAGAATACAATTTTTTTGTATTTCATTAAGGTATGCGCTAACAGGAATCACTTTAATGAGTCTATTGGAATCTTTTCCAGTCAATCCGAGGGCTCCAACTACAACTGGAGTTGTTGATGTCCTCATATACCACGTTTTTTAAGATTTCCATTTCAATGTCCTTGTATTTTGATAATTTTTAAAGATCTTCAAAGATAGATTACAGTCTGCAGGGACTGCAACATATCAATAAGAAGGCACATTTTGTTTTTGCGGTCTCTGATCAATATGTCTGTGCGATTAGCTTTGATTGTTCTGTCTGTGTGTATTGTAAGATCCCATAAAATTGTTACAGGTCCTATCCCTGTAACTGGGTCTGGGTGGTGTTCATACCAATTTCTTGCACTTTCCTTCTCGTAAAAGTTACAGATTTTCCAATCCAGATATTTGCCCACTCTGTCACGCCGAGTTTTACATTCAGTGTGTGCTAACACCGTGCAACCTGATACAAGATGGTCAATTGTTACTGGATATTTATCACAGAATCCTACTTTTGGGCTAACACAATTTTTCAGTATGTGTGCTTGGTAATTTCTAGTTAGCAAGCATTACTCCTGTGCAGCAGGAATAAAGCGTTCAGTTTCAGCTTTTAACCCTGTACTACATAGCCACTGATAGAGATGGTGTTTGTCTACATGAGTCCGTTTGGTACGGCCAGGGTACTGACCGTGAAGCGGTTTATCCTGCTATCGTTACTGTATCTGGTTGATTGAATTTGTTTTTGCTTCCTTTTATTATTATTATTATTTTTATTTTCTTTCGTTTCTGGCGTTTACACATTTCTTTCCGGGTCCCGCCCAGGGACCTAAGGTTAGAAATGGCATCATGACACTTTCCACTGACAAAAAAAAAAAAAAAAATTACATAGATAAAGCCCTTCGTAAAGTGTGGGCTGTACTTTATAGAACAATTTTTTGTATCTCCTTGAGGCATGGACTTCCAGGAATCCCTTCAATTAGTCTACTGCAATCTTTTCCAACCAGTCCTAGGGCTCCAACTACAACAGGGATTGTTGATGTTCCCATATGCCACATTTTCGAGATTTCTATTTCAAGGTCCTTGTATTTTGACAGCTTTTTGAATATCTTCAAAGATACATTGCAGTCAGCAGGGACTGCCATATCAACAAGGAGACACCGTTTTTGTTTGTGGTCTTTTTTATTATTATTATTATTTTATTATTATTGTTATTATTATTATTGATAATAATAATAATAATAATAATAATAAAGACATAAAAGAGTGGGCCTATATTTGAATTGGAAAATATGCAAATGTTACGGGAAGGAAACTGCAAGAAACTGGTATGAACCTTACCCAAACCTGGTTACAGAAACAGGACCTGTAACAATTTTATGGGACTACACAATACACATAGACAGAACAATCAAAGTTAACCGCCCTGACATCGTGATCCAAGACCACAAAAAAAGAATTTGCTTTCTTACTGATATGGCAGTTCCTGCAGACAGTAATTGAAGATCTTCAAAATACAAGGATCTTGAAATGGATATCTCAGAAACGTGGCACATGAGGACATCAATAATTCCAGTTGTAGTTGGAGCCCTCAGATTGATTGGAAAAGGGTTATATAGACTCATTGAAGGAATTTCTTCTAGCCCATGCCTCAAAGAATTACAAAATATTGTACTCACAAGTACAGCTCACACATTACAAATATTTGGTGTCTTTTCTTTTTTGGTGGTGGGGTACGAAAATGATCAGTAGAAAAAAAATATCACGAAGCCAATTCTGACCTTAGCTCTCTGGTTGGGACCCGGAAGAAAATGTGTATACAACAGAAATCAACGGAAATAATATAATAATAATAATTAAATAATAATAATAATCATTTGACATTGCACTCATTGATGAGGTGTTTACCATCAATCAGTGTTTTTTTAATTTTTTTCGTGTCTTTTTTTCGAGGCACTATCTCTAGAAAAGATTGCATTCAAGACTAAAGAACTCCGTCTGTCCATGGAACACGGCTATTTTTCGCAGGACGTCAATCGGATATTTTACTGTCACGAGGAAAAGAGAAGTCCCCGAAAATAACAAAGCGAAACATCTATGACTTATTCTGATACAAGCAGGGAAAACGTTAGAGCACAATAAATCAGATATAGTCCTGCTGGACAAACAGAAAAAAAATTGCTGCCTTATAGAAATTTACTCTCTATCTGACAGGACAATTGAACACAAAGAAAAGGAGAAGATCGACAACTACAACGAGTTAAAGTATGACATTCCGAATGTTTGAGAAGGACAAGTAAAGAAAGTAATTACAGTACCATTGGGGTTATTGGAGCATTGGGGTGTTTCCAAAAATATTGGAAAAAAAAACTTGCAAATATTGGATTGTGATTTAGGAACAGAGCCGTTACAAAAAGTTTGCCTACTCAGAAGAGTGAAAATACTTCGGAAAGTGGTGAATACAGCCTGTCGATGAAAAGAACAAATGATCGGTTTATTTTTCTTAAGTCACGAGAGGTGACCAGAAAATAAAGTTCTTACCAGCAATCAACATCATATGCTGAACGGAATAATAATATGGTTACTTAAACCATGTCTTCCACTATGTGTCACTCGCAACAACTTCGACTTGACTCACCAAATCGAATACTATTGACGTCACTCAGCTACCGACCATTTATACAGCTCAGGCCTTCAGGTGAACACAAGTGGTAGGAGGTTACATCCCAGTAGCAGTAAGAGTAGTCTTCAATCTGCTGTCCAATCGCAGTTCGAACAAATATTACCCCCTTCTCTCTCTCTCTCTCTCTCTCTCTCTCTCTCACTCACTCACTCACTCTCTCTCTCTCTCTCCTTTCCCCCCTCTCTCAGGTTAATCCTATTTATTTGGAAAATAGTTAATCCCAACTTTCAATTAGTGATTTCTATTACAAAAAGTTTTACTCTCGACAGATATCGAAGATGAAGTATTCATCATGATTATGATAACAGTAGACATTGATTTAAAAAAACAACAGTAACCTAATAACGACGTGAAATCCCGAAAGGTACATTTAAAAATCTTTATTTTAAATCGATTATTGAACAACAGAAAATAAAGCTTTTAACTTGTTGCATTATGTTAATGTAAAAATGAGCATCTTCGAGTATATCTACAAAGTATAAATTTTCAGACCGCCTTAGTAAAATGTAAACCGTGTAGCATCAACGTTGCTATAAAATATGCATGACTTCTTGAAATTTAAAAACTCTTAGATTCAACACTGACCATTGAAATCTATCAAGTAAAAAATCCACTGTTCAACAGACAATGCATTTTTAATTTGGCAAAATCAGCCGATTCGGTTTTTATTTTGGCTACATCGGCCCATCTAAGTTCATTTTAGTATTTGATTTAATTTTTTAAATGGGTGCATTTGATCTCATTTTGATAAAATGGGCCTATTGGCTTAATTTTGGTAAAAGGCGTCTTATTTTGCTTCAATTTTGTTCAAATGGGCCCGTTTGATTTCATTCTGTAAACTAGTTCTATTCGGTTTCAGCTTGTTAGAAAATTGCCTAATTGGTTTATTTTTGATAAAATGGGCCTCTTTGGTTTCATTTCGGTAAAATGGACCCATTCGCTTTCAATGCTGCAAAGTTTATCTTGTATAATTCACAAAGTATCTCTACGCTCTGTCTTGGCTCAAAGTTTCACTCCTCGATACTTCTGCCTCGCTTCATTATAGTTTCTGAGACCACGTGAAAAGGGGTTACATACTAATTCATCTCAAGCAAGGGGATAAAGTCTCTAAGACGCAAGGGATTACTGGGAGTGAAAGAGAATGAGAAGATGGTGATTGGCGGTGCATTTAACTTTTTAAAGATTTTAGGTAGCAAAAACCGGAAGATAGTTTCATAAGCAAGGATAGAAATTATTACAACAGAACTTATGGTTACATCTACACTGACACCTAGTAGCCAATCTAGTAGTACTCTTAAATTCATTCGGTCAAGGTACGAAAGTGGAAAATTCATTAAAAAGAAAAGAAAAATTATATATATTTAATAGGTCTGTTAATGAAATTTCAGGAATAAAAAGGCAACAAAATGATAACAATATTAGCAATAAGATTGAATATATATATATATATATATATATATATATATATATATATATATATTAGTGGACCTTTGACTAAATTGAAACACGAAGAGAAAGATTTTATAGTCGGAATTTTCGGACACACCTGCGTCCTTTTTCAACGAGACGATAAATAAAGAAATCACTCTTCCGGGGAATATTGTTGTTGTTGTTTAGCGTTGAGTGGGTTCTCGCTTAATACCTTTCTAATTGTTTGGTCGAGTTTTAAGTATTGGGAATCTATTATTAATATATGAGAAAGCTTGTGAATATTGCAATTAAAATCAAAAGCCATGGGAATTTTGGAATTATTCATTTTTGATTCATAAGTTAGAAGATTGTTTATATTTTGTTTGGAAGCCTCATTGATTGATTTGTTGATAATGTTAATTCGGTGATTTCTAGTGGGAAAGTAACTGAAAGTTGTCAGATTTGTTTGTTTTTTTTTTGTTTTGTTTTGTTTTTGTAATCGCCATTTTGTGAAAATGAAGATTGCATTCAAGCATGAAAGAAACTGTTACCGTTTGATATTGACCTCAGTGTCCACTTTTATCTATCTATCTATATATATTTATCTATCTCTCCCTCTATATATATTTATATATACTTTGAGACTTGAAACTGACAGTCACCATGTGTTGATTCCTATTTTTCACACTGCCTATATCTCCAATAATGGGCGCTTTACCTGTTGTAACGTAGTTTTCACAGTGGAGGCTTGTATTTCGCTAAGTCGGTCCTAAAAGGGTCCGACGTACAAAACGTTAGGAACTTGAAATAAGAGTTAATGACACAGCAATCTAGTTGTGATGGTTGATACTTCAATGTCGGACATCTACTGACTCACTCAAACCCACTGAGCTCAACTGGCGACCGCTACTACTACTACTACTTATTATGTGTGGGAGAGTCTATTACAATAGAATAGGTAATATTCCGGTATAACATTACCTCTATTAATATAAACAATTTTAAACAATGTGCGTGCGTGCGTGCGTGCGTGCGTGCGTGCGTGCGTGCGTGCGTGATGAAATTATCGTTTTAAGGGTAAACGTACTCGATATCAGGGATAGAACATATGTAAATACGTTTTTTAAATAGATTTTCTTTTTGTGTTCAATATGAATTTGTCTTAATTTCCTAAAAGTATATATTTATGTGGTTTCATCATATTGTCAAAAATTAAATTCCCTTAAAATGAAGTCTTGTTTAAATACCATAATTTATTATATACTTTTCTTGTCTTGTATTTTTCAACTGGTAGGTTTACTTTTTCCCTTTTCTAAGATATCAGATGTTTAGAGAGAAGCACAGTTTTAGTGCCTTGCCATGAGCACCAGTTTCCTTAGACTAGTAGTAGGCATTCCTTTATCTGACTAAAATTTAATCCTTTGGTGGTGAAATTGGAGTGACCTCTCCAGGGTGCAGGCCTGGGCGATGGTATATAGAGAGACTTCCCGGATTACATAGCCACTTCCATCCCTCTCGGTCTTACCAACAAGATCCAAAGGAATCCAGGGCATTACATATGGAGACGGCTTGACTGCAGGAATTGCCGGAAGGTTGTCAGTGGGGACAGCCAACTGCCTTCGTAGCTCCACTTTGGGTTTTATGTCTGGATTTACATAGCCTGTTCCGTGTTTGGGATATGACCACGAGGCAGCGGGGGTTTAGGATCAGAGGTTTTTTTCCCCCTAGATGGGTTGCCTTCCTGAACTGTCGAGATCCATCTACCCGAAGCAGCTGGTTATGAGGCGCCAGTTTTCCGCCTTCGTTCATTCTCGGGTTCGGAACTGGGCTTAGTTGTCAGTCTATTTGAGACGCATGTCACGAAGCATTTTATAGACAGTGGGAGCTTGTCCCAACTATCACTCTATATTTCCATAGATATACTTTGTATTTCCTGAATATTTTCTTGTCTGAATCTGATTATTTTTCAGATTTTCAACCATATTCCAAGTCTCTTCAGAACTGTTTCGAACGCGCCACTACTTGGTGCTACTATAGTATGATATCTAGGCATTTGCGACCTACCGTAAATTACGATGCTCTCATTATTGTTGGAAAATGTTCAGGAAAAACAATGATCTGTTTACTGCTTTTTTTTAAATCACATCAAATCAGTTTACAAACATTAAAATCACTATTTGATTTTTTTGTATAAATAAAAAAATAATTTTTAATACATAGTCAGTTCACTGTTCACTATCTTTAATCCTAAACTTAATATATTTCATACTTCCAACAGCTGGTAAATACCATAGTAGAAAATGAATAGTATATATCATAGTATAGTAGAAAATGGACGGTAGGTATCATACTATAGTTGTACCCACTACTTTCATGTTTCTTATTTTTCCACAAAGTTCAAATATTTTCTCGCTGGAAGAGGCGAGAATTGAAAATCTTTCAATTTTATTTTGCAGTCTGTTGATACCCAATGTTTGAGAAGTACTTAAAATATTCATAAACTTCTCTCTATATATTTTTTATGACTGATGATGAATAAATGATTTTAACTTGTGTTTTAACAACTGAAGGTGGAAAAGATTTTAAATTGTCTTAAAATTGATGGTAAAAATAAACTTCTTTGTTAAATCTTTGTATTGTTATTTTTTAACATTGCCTGCCTTCATAATAATAAAAATATTTATCGGCGAAATAGCCTGGGCGTCTATTTTACCGGAACCGGCAAAATAGAGTCTTCCCTTTTTTAAGACGTCTGCATCAACTTCTTTTTCTCCTCTTTCTTTCTCACTCTCTCCATCTCTCACTCGCCCCATTTCTTCCCCTTTCTCTATCTCCCACTATCAACATCCATTCCTTTTTATTTTATTTTCTCCTTCTATCTCTTTATTTCTTGTTCTTTCTTTCTCTATGTTTGATATTTTTCTCCATCTCAAGGCCCCTTTTCTCACTATTTTTCTCACTCTTTCTTTCTTTTCTCTACTGCTCTACCTTTTACATTTTCCTCCTTTCTCTTTCTTTTTTCATTCTCCCCTTGCAGTTTTAATCTCTTTTCTTCTCACATCTCTCTTTCTTCCATATAAACTCATGACCTACCCTTTCACCTGCCTCTTTCTGTCCATTTCCCTCCCTCTATCCATTTCCCCAAACTTCACGTTCTCTCTTCCTCTTTCTCTCTAACTTTGCCTTTTCTTTCTTCCTTCCGTGTCCTTTCTCTCTTTCACTCTCTCTTTCCCGCTCTTATCTCTTTCTCTTTTTGTGTATCTATAACAATCAATTTAATTTTGCTTCTTTATAAAAATTACTATAACATACAAAGTAAAAATAAGAAGCCATAAACTGTTTCTAATTAATGATCTGGCTGAATGAATTGTCCAAATGACAAAATCTAAATCTGAAAATTTATTTTCTAATCTTCTTTTGTGTACCGTATTACTTACTTCAAGGTCATGTATCTCCGTAGCTCTAAGTAATGTTTGTCCCTCATAATGTCTACCATCTTTTTACAGAAGCTCGTTAGGTAAGTTCGCCTTTTACCTCTGCCCATCTTGCGTTCAATATGTCCAGTGAGTGTCACATTCTTCAAACTCTCTTTCCTCATTATTTATCGAAGAAATATCAACTCTTTCTTATTCTTCGTTCTTTTTTTTCCATTTTCCTTAAAACTTTCTCGTTACTCCGTCCATGGTATTCTCAGTATCATCCTTTAGAACCTTATCTCTCCTGTTCATCTGTGAGGAAATTATCCAGCGTTCACTCTCATATAGAATGATTGATATTACATAGCAATTCAGCACTCTTTTCTTTGTTTTTAACAAAATTTTTCCCATTTCTTAATAGTTTGTTTAGCGTTTGGAAGACATTTTTCGCTATTCCAGTGCCCCTTCGGATTTCTCTATCGTATTTCCCGTCCTCTCTTATAACACATCCCAGATTGTTAAATCTCTGTACCTGATTGATTTTGATTTCATCAATTCGTAACTCGCATCTAGGATTACTAACGTGCATGCTGTCTATCCTCTTGTAATTGATAGTCTTTTCTTCCCACTTTCCTTCACTATTATGTCTAGGTCTTTCTACAGGTGTCTTGGGTATAACGATAAACTACATCCGGCAGCAAGGCCTCGGATCAGGAGATTGGTGGTTTAATTGCTGTTGTTTCCAGGTCCACCCTAACTCGAAGTGGGGTGGGGTAGTACCTGTTAGGGTACCTGTTAGGGTACCAGCTATGAGCAAATAGTTAAACTCCAAACAAAAACAAACAATACATTTTTATAATAAAATGACCAACAATACATTTTTATAGCTAAATGACAATCAATGCAACACAAAAAATATTTAAAAAATACATTTTTATAGTAAAATTACCAACAATACATTTTATGATCTACAAAGTACATATCTAAAAATCATATCTTTACTCTGAAAATATAAAATTATGTACAAAATATCTGTAGTTGAAAGCATAAAATTACATACAAAATATTTAAATTTCGGCATTAAATAATCCATAGAGTTTGATATGCCACTAAAGAAAATCAAACAATCAACATGAAAGAATTCTTTCATGAGATTAATCTATATAATATCCTACAGTTTCTTAAAGAAATCAAACCGTATTCCAAAATATAAGTTCAACAAAACTACAATATAAAACACATATATCACTGCCTCTAGTAATTATGGTCACACAAACATGTATATGCCCAAATGCTGAGTATCATCTACCGTGTAATCAATTGTGAAAGCAGAATAATATATATCATATTTTTATTACTGCAAAGCGAGAAATAATGAAAATTCAATTTCGGTATTAAATGAACTATAAAGAGTTGATATGCCCTTAAACAAACAAAACAAACTAAAAGTTTGTTTTTTTCTGAAACTGTCACCTGCACGATGTCATCTGCATATCTTATGTAAGATTGCGCCCAACCGATAATAAATCCGAGTAGGATTTCTAGTTCTCTTAGGATTGCCTCGCTTTAAAGGTTAAAGAAATCCGCTGAGAAGATAAATCCTTGTCTTTCGCCCCTCTCTAGTTTTATATACTTGCTCAATTCCCTTTCTGTCTATATGCAGGTCGTTTTCTTCCAGTATAAGTTCTAGATTACTGTAATGTCTTTCCCAAATACAAATATATTAACGTGTTATGGTAATTTACCCATGCACGTATAGATTCTCCCAGCTATAAATAAGAGCAGTTACTGCCTTTTAGAGAGTGTAGTTACCAGCAGTCATCTCTGACAGTCGGATCGAACATTCTTGCTGTAACACCCTCGTTTGTATATGTCTGTATTACTGTTTTCTGTTAATATGTTTGTTTAACTCAATTCCTCTCTTTGTGTCTTAACAAGGCCACAACATAACGTTGAAAGACATCTTACAAGTACAGTAATTGTCGTAATTGTTTGCATAACAATCATTAATATTCCTTGAGTGCCGTGAAATTCTCGCTTACAAAATTTCGTAATCGAGAATTCCACGGCATTTAAGAGACATTGATGATTGTTAAACAAAGAATCTACGCTTGTTTAGAAAGCTTTTCATTCTCAAATTAAATATTTATATTTATTTATACATTTGTTTTGTATTATTTTATTTTTAGATTCCATGTTGAATAAAATATACATCTCTTCCTAACTAGCAAACAACCGATCATAATAAATTGCAACTTTCTCCACTTTGCAGAATTCCTTGAATTGCCATATTTTTCATTGACAACATCAGGAGCAGCAGGAAAGGAACACATTTAAAATAGAATCGGCCATTTTTCTTGTTAAGACTGTGTGGCTTATAACCTTTGTTCTTTGCTCTATTCAATAATATTCTAAATCATATTAGCGTGCGAGTGTCATTACGTGTCAGAAGCGCTTTAGAATTTATTCGGTTTAAACATCTTCTCTTTGTGGAAGATCAAACTGCAATAAATTACTTGATTCTACATTCATTCAGATCCACGGCGGCAATGATAAATGGAAACTGTTTCAAGCAATGTTTGAGCCTAAAGGTCAACAGCTGATGATGAACTTATCGAACGCACGAACTCTAGCGAAGCAAAAGGAAACGCATTGAAAGAAAACAATAAATTGATGCAAATATTTTAAATATTCGTGATAATTCTAAATATTAGTGTGCATCAAAAGTATTTTCATTTTGTACATATCTTCATTCAATTGCTTTTTTCATGCACACATTTGAAGAATACGTCTAGCTACACTATATCATTACTTGTATTAGTACAAATCTATAACTCTAATAGATTATTATAATGAGTAACTGTAATTAAAAATGTGGGAAAATGCATTTTCTGAACATTCCTTTCATTTGCGCTCGTCACATAAATTCATTAGAATAAGTTGTGATCATCTCTTCTTCTAAAGTACAAATCTATAACTCTAATAGATTATTATAATGAGTAACTTTTATTTAAAAATGTGGGAAAATGCATTTTCTGAACATTCCTTTTCATGCACACATTTGAAGAATACGTCTAGCTACACTATATCATTACTTGTATTAGTACAAATCTATAACTCTAATAGATTATTATAATGAGTAACTGTAATTAAAAATGTGGGAAAATGCATTTTCTGAACATTCCTTTCATTTGCGCTCGTCACATAAATTCATTAGAATAAGTTGTGATCATCTCTTCTTCTAAAGTACAAATCTATAACTCTAATAGATTATTATAATGAGTAACTGTAATTAAAAATGTGGGAAAATTCATTTTCTGAACATTCCTTTTCATGCACACATTTGAAGAATACGTCTAGCTACACTATATCATTACTTGTATTAGTACAAATCTATAACTCTAATAGATTATTATAATGAGTAACTGTAATATCAAAAGTATTTTCATTTTGTACATATTTGTACATAAAAGTATTTTCATTTTGTACATATCTTCATTCAATTGCTTTTTTCATGCACACATTTGAAGAATACGTCTAGCTACACTATATCATTACTTGTATTAGTACAAATCTATACGAGATGCATTCCAGAACCTTTTTAGGCTTTTTAGGAGGTAGTTATAACTCTAATAGATTATTGTAATTTTGGTATATCATTACGATACAATTACTAAACTGAACTGTTAACGTTTGTCATTCTAGATTAAAGGAGGCGACTGTAACAGCTCTTTGAACACACACTACTAAGCACTGCTTGTCAAATTGCAGAATACATTCGGGACGTGAAGACAACTTGGAAAATCCCTATGCAATAAGGTTTTCTGTTGACAGAGATGGGCATCAAAACTGTTCTTCACCCTCCCTACATTCCAGGTATTGCTCCCTATTATTTTTGGTTGTACCCCAAGCTCAAGGAGAAACTCAAGGGCAGTCGTTTTGAAGAGATTGAGAAGATGGAGGAAACTGTGACAAGATTCCTGGATACCTTCAATTTGGATGACTTCCACGAGGCCTTCACGGAGTGGCTGGAATGGTACAAGTGCAGTGAAGTTTGAAAGCGATTAGAGTTTCGTACTTTGAAATTAATAAAGTTATCCCCTGAAAATGCCTTAAAAACCTCTGAATCTACCAAAAGAATAATATATATATATATATATATATATATATATATATATATATATATATATATATATATATATTCACTCAACACATTCAGGTTATTAAATAAAGGACTAGCTTTTACCTAGTCCCCCAAGGTTTGATAAAGACACCTTGGCAAAGGACCTGAAATACTTCTTCAGAAGAATACGGCTAAAATCCAGGGACAATGATCACACATCTTCCATACTTGATACATTAAAAGAGAAGGACACTACTTTCACCCTACAAAATACAGACATTACTATACAGACATTGGAAATGGCAGTAGCAAATGACATAAAGAAAACAATAGCACGTAAGCTGCCACGTAACAATATTACTGAAGGGGAACGTATAGCCCTTGACACGCTGACACATAGAGATGACCTAATCATAACACAGGCTATCAAAGATGGTGCCACATTGATCTGGAGAATTAAAAAATACATTAAAGAGGCCAACAATCAACTAGCCGACAAAAAACCTATAAAAGCTTACCTACAGACCCTCTTCCCGAATACCAGAAAGAATTAACTAGCTCACTAAACATAATGCTTCGCAACAATCGACAAGGAAAATGCACAACGCAACACCCGCAAACATCACACCTGCTCGCTT